CATAGTGTGAAGACACATTACTCTTTGCCTCCTTTGTGTCTCTGTGTTTGCTTTTGCACCATCTATGTAAATAAAAAGGACACTGTTCATCTTTGGTTGAAAGCATCATTTCAGAGCTGACTTTCACAAATGTATTTTTTTTAATTCTCAGCAAATACAGAATAAGAGCTCTGTACTAAAGGAACATGTTGGCGAGATAGGAGTTAATGCACTCACCATTAAAGCTCTTTGGAGCTTTATTTTTTAATTATTTTAAATGAATAAATCCTGAGACAGAAATAAAAGCTCTTTTTCAGAGTAGCTGAGAAAAGACTATGCAGTCTTGATTACAGTAGAGTGTGAAACTATAATAAGTGGCTATTATTTTCTCATAAAGTCTTATAACACCAAATACTTTAAAATTTACAAGTCTATAATGACTAATATTTTTTTTACTGTGCCTTCAATAAGTGGTTCAACTAAAAATGCATGTTATCCTGAAATAAAAGTCTTATCTGGAATAAGACTCTTCATGCTCTGGAATGATAAAATAGTCAAAATAGAAATATTTCTGTTCATACAACATTTGTAATCTCCAGGCATATTCTGAATATTGAATAATAGTCATAGTTGTATTAAAGGTTATTTTAGGAAATTAAAAAGTTATGATGTTTTGGTAATAATTCCAAAACTTCGGCAATTACGTTGGGTTCCCTAGAGACAGGTCCAGATGTGAGGATTCATGCGTAAGTGATTTATTAAGGAGGTACTCCCAAGAGAAACTAGTAAGGGAGTGAGGAAGCAAGACAAAGAAAAGGAGGAAGCCAGGCAAGGATGCAACCTCAAGGCAAGTTCTTTGGAGAGTAACTTTAACCTTATCCTGTAGCATCTTTGGAACAAATCACACTTCCCACTCAAGAGACCTGGGCTTTCATACCCTTGGACTCATCAGTTACCCTCTAGGCAGAGACTAGGGGTTTCTGGTCCTTTTTAAATCAAATCAAATTTAGCCTAAAGCTGCCTTCTTACATATTCTAAGTTCATCCTAAAGGTTTCTCTGTACATAGTGAACAATAATCTAAGTGGAGGTGTAAACAGACTGTAACCTACTCTTGTGCCAATCATGGAGTTTTGACCAATCAAAGGGGGCCAACTGTTTAAACTGTGTTCAAATAAGGCAAATGCCAACCTGTAACCAATCTGACTGTTACTGTACCTCACTTCCGTTTTCTATATATCACTTTCCTTTTTCTGTCTATAAATCTTCTTCCACCATGTAGCTGTGCCAGAGTCTCTCTGAGCCTACTCTAGCTTGGGAATCTGCCTGATTCGTGAATCATTCCTTGCTCACTTAAAATCTGTTAAATTTAATTTGGCTAAGGATTTCCTTTTAACAGGTGTCACTGTCACACACTTCTAACTCTCTGTGGCTGCAGGCAAAGTACATGCAGTAGCCCAAGAGAGGACACTGGAAAAAGCCACACAAGTATGAGCCACTGAAGGCAAAAGCACATCAAAGATGGAGAGGGATGCAGAAGTTACCTGAAGGAGTTTTGGCAAAGCACTGGCAGTATCCATTAGAGAGTACTTCTGACATCCTAAAACTGGAAAATTCCCATTTCAGTAAAACTAATCAATCATTAAGAACAGTGTTACCAGCTGGATGCAGTGGCTCACACCTGTAATCCCAGCACTTTGGGAGGCCAAGATAGGAGGATTGCTTGAGGCCAGGAGTTCAAGACCAGCCTGGGCAGCATAGCTGTCTCTACAAAAAACTAAAAAATTAGCCAGGTGTGGTGGTACGCACCTATAGTCGCAGCTACTCTGGAGGCTGAGAAGAAAGGATCACTTGAGCCCAACAGTTTGAGGCTGCATCGGGCTAAGACGGTGCTGCTGCACTCTGGCCTGGGGCAACAGAGTGAGACCCTGTCTCTAAAAACAAACAAACAAACAAGCAAGCAAACAAACAGTGTGCCCATGAATGGGCATATTTCTTAACTTCTCTTTGTCTCAGTTTCTTCATCAAATAAATAAAAATATCTAACTCAAGATTCTTATGAGCATTGTCAGAGGTGTGTGAACCAGAGCAACTCCATCTTTAATAGGGTCTGGGTAAAAATAAGGCTGAGACCTACTGGGCTGCAACCCCAGACAGTTAAGGCATTCTAAGTCACAGGATGAGATAGGGGGTTGGCACAAGATACAGAATAGTCAAACTTGCTAAAAATAAAAGAGGAAGCATTAAAATACTTTGATTAGCACTGAGATAGTCTTAAATCGAACCATGTAAAATCACCAATACTAGAACTTTGTTGACCCAAGAAAGCAGCAATTTCATAGGATTCAACCTGACACATAAAACCTGGAAGACAGATGTTTATGAGCCTCTTTTTCTCCTGCATGTCTGTCCAAGGATGCAAGGCCCTAACAACTTTACTTGGGCCATTTCTCAGTTTTATTTACAGTAAGCAAGCAACCGTGAGTGATGAGGACATGTCTTCTTCTGGGATAAAGATCAGGCCCACTTACTGCTTGCTGTAGAAGCTGCGAATTTCAAAGCTGAGTGTTTCTCTCCAGTTGCATAACTCGCTGCATGTGCACATGGCATCTGCGCTCTTTGCATCAACCTCTTGGAGCTTGGGAGAAGGAGGTACCCCTGTAAATATGCTGATGCTCATGCTGCTTCACGTGCTGTGGGAAATATTGTTCTTTGACTGTGGCTGGGAGTTTCATGCCTTCTACCAACATACATGAAGCATTAAAAAGCTAACTTATTAGCTTTAAAGTAGGATAAAGTCAAGTCTGAGACCTAACCAAGCTACAAACAGGATACTCTCAAGATTGCATTAGTAGCATCAGCTATGAAATTTTCCCAAAAAAATACCATTTTTCACCACAAAGCTGAAAACATTCTTAAGAAAGCTCAGTGTGGTCATTCACCATCTTTCTATCTCTGTTCTTAGGTTCATTTCACAGGAAGTCAAAAACTTTGAGAAGCAGTAAAAAATGTGTTGTATTTCCTAGTACCCTATTCTCCCAGAGACACGTGAAGCCCCTCAAGGAAGTTATGATCACATCCTGGAATCTGGAAAAAGCCATGTGGGAGGTTTCAGGCAAGCTGATTGATTATCTGTTCACTTCTGTCTTTATTTGCGCATGAGCTTCATCTCTGGACATGAATTAAATTTTGTAGATTGGAGCTCCTGTTGTACTCAGAGGTCTGAGTTATTTTGAGAATAGCCTTGGAGACTAAAACACAGGCTGGATGAACACCAATAACTGGTGTCTCTAAGCACAGCTCCCCTGCTTTCTTCCTGAATATAGCATTGGGTGGTCACACTAGTTTTCTTCCCTTCTAGGCTGAGCCTTGATGAAACCAGACCATTTCCTCCTGACAATGCCACAATTGTGGATTGGCATTTTTATGTAAATAGCTGTTCTCTGATTCATTAAACCCTATTGCCCCTGACATTTTCCTTTCTGACCCTTATCAGCCACACACTAGCAAAACATGAAGAAATAAAGAGGACAAAGAAAGGCAATAAAAGGGTTACAACCAAGAAGTGTATTGTGACTGTGACCAACAAGGAAATTTGGCAATGGGTGACTGAACACCCAAGGATGCCCTGTCAGCTGGTCACAACTACATTTATTCGAAGCCTGACAACTGCTTAGCACCATTTCCAGGTGTCACGTAGAGATACATAGGAAATGACAGTCAAGGCTGCTACGTTAACAGCACTTACAATTTAATAGATGAGATAGCACAATTAAATGCCCAGATCTCTGTACATGTACAATGTGGGCCTTCCTCTCCTCTCTACTGACTTTTCATTTCTTTCATAGTATGTGTCACAAACTGCAATATTTAGTTTATTTATTTGTGTTCTTGCTTATTGCACTCCCCTAGAGCTGGGATTCACCTGGGATGAAACAGCATGTCCACTCTAATGATTTATGGCTGCTACTCCTGATCTCACCCACTGGAATGTAAATTTCAAATAGACAGGGACCATGTTTATCTTATTCACCATTATAACCCCGGAACCTATCAAAATGCACCTAGTAGATTCTCAAATTTTTTGAATGAATAAATAAGTAAATAAAACCAGCAGCAGTCATCTAGAGAGACTGTATAACTTGTCCTCTGAATGCTGCTACTAACTTATTAACACGAAATTAAGAAAGCAAGAACCTGGTTCAAAAGCATAAGCAAAATTTTTGAAAAATATAGATGAGAAAAAAGTCCCCAGACCCCAGGGCAGGAGAACTATTCTTACCATTTTCCTTAGTGAATATTAAGATCATAAATCACAAAAATTAGTAGAGTACAAAAGGCCCTATAAGAATCCCATCATGTGACTTTTAATTAGATTTCAAGAGCAGCGGGGTTCCACTGAAACTCACAGGCTTCTCCACGTTTAAAGCTGAATAGAAATAATAGCCATCTAGTTGCCTTGAATTGTAGCTGAGCTACCGACTATGAAGCTAAACCGGTGAAGCTCAAGCATGTGATATAAACACCAGATAGAGTCATTTCCCTGATGGCCCCAATTCTTCATTCACCACCTTCTGCTCTGTTCCACCCCTTGATGCAGAGCTCAGCCATGTGACTTCCTTCGGCAAATGGGATGTTAGCAAATAGGATGCAAGCAGAGGTTTGAAAAGTCCCTGCGCAATGAGACTTACTCTCCTGCTGCTTTTGCTCCTTCACTACCGCCATGAGTGCATGGTGCTAATGTGCTGGAGGAGAAATATATGGATCACAACCCCGGTTTCTCATTGCAGCTGAGGCTATCCTAGACTAGCCTACAGTAGCCAACCCCCAGCGTGGGTTCATCTGAGATCTACCAGCTGCCCTGAAACTGACCATGGATGCATAAGCGAGCACAACCAAGATCACCCCTTGGTTTTAGAGAGGTTTGGTTTGTAGCATTATTGTAGCAATCACTAACTAATATCTAACTAGTTCCTCGTATAAGGAGTAAAGCTCAACTAACAGAAAAACAAATATTAAGACATGGACATGATTTTTCTTTAATGAAATAGGAAGTATTTTCAGTTAAATTTTTCGGTTTCTCTACAACCACAGCACATGGTTCCTTCAGCCATATACATGCCACTGGGGTTGAGCAGGCCTGGGCGCAAGGCACTTAGAGAAGAGACATGCAGGACATCAGCAGGCCCAGCAGGACTGTGGCAGGTGTCACCCTTCCACCACTGTCCGAGGGCCAGTGTTTTGCATACACATCATCCAGGACTGACAGCACAGCCTCCATGGTCTCATCACAGGTGGGCTGGATCTGATCTTCGGGCAGAACAAACCCATGTGTTCCTGTGTCCCTCAGCTCAAACGTGTATGAGAAGGGGATCCCAATGTCTCGGGCCCAGTCTCTTGAAGACCCTGATGAGGAATCTACAGGTGAAAACATGAAGGCAGAGGTAGAAGTGGTACTTCGACAAAACAGATTTCTATAGCCATTCCAAGCACTAAAGGTTCACTTAGTAAAATAAAGGAACTCTTTGGATCGGGGTCTCAGAAATAGCTGTCTTCTCTTGTAAGCCCTGTAGGGTGGGAACCACATCTTATTCAGTATCTCTGTCCCTCATCATACCTGGCACTGTGTCTGGCACATAGGGAGATTTGGCTCAAGTTTCTCAGCTGAGTCAATGACTTGGCAACCTAATATTGCCTGGAAAGAGTGAAGTGAGTCATATAAAGAAAAAAACAGAAAGAAAATGACCCACAAGAAAAATATTGTACAAGTATTATTTAGAGGGGGGTTCATGAAGGGTGGAGAAGGTAGAAGCTGGGGTCGGGAGAAACAGTGTGCTCTCCTTTCAACTAAACTCTTGCCTTTAGATTTTTTTCTCCAGGGCTTTCTTAGCCTTATGGGTCCTCTGGGAACAGAATGGACTGACCAAAGGTCAGTGGACAATGTCCTTCCTGTTAACTCCTGTGCTTTCTAGCTTGCCAGTTCTTTTTAACTGAAGCCAGGGGAAGTTCTGGTCAGAGCCAGCACATTAATTCTTTTCCTTTTAGTTCATCCCTTTTCCCTAGAGAGTATAATTCTGGATTTGTACAGACTTCCTTTTATCCTTGGTCATTTTGATTTGTACAACTCCCTGTTGATCCCAGGAACTCTTCTGTTCCTCTCCTGCCTATCTCACCATCCAAAGTCTACTGACTTCTTTTGTGCCTTAGATACTATTGAAAAGGCAAAAAAAGATACTTACATAAAATATCTGCACTTGATCCAACTCTATAATTGGTTCCATACTTTGCTTTCAATGCATTTGCTGCCTTCTGTCCAACTTGAATCTGTAGGTGGGAAATGCAGAGACAGATATCTGGTGTTTAAAATAAATCCAACAATCCAAGCTTTTGCTATTTTGTCCAGATTCATCTCCAGAGTTTTCGGGCTACCTTTCCAACTTCCCATTGGACGTCTACACCTAGGTCGCCTGCTGGTACCTCAGATCTAACACACTCACATCCAATTTCACCATCTCTCCCACTAATAAGGCTGCTTTGACTTTCATATTTCTGGGCTTGCATGCTCTCCCAAACACACATGTAGAATTCTGCAGACATCTCTGATATTCCTTCTCTAAAACAGTTGCCAAGTTGCATCTCCAGTGCCATCATTCTATGTCACACTCATTATCTCTGAACTGGTCTATTGCATCTCCTAACAGATTTCCCTTTCTCTCACCAATCCGTCTTCCAAGTGATCCCACCCGGCTTCCAGGTGAAACTTTGTAGTGTACAGCTATGATCATGATCCCCTGGAAAAGTCTTCAATAACCCCTGGTTGCTCACTGTACTAAGTACAAACTTCTCAGCCTAGATTTTGAGATCCTCTCTAATACGACTCTAACCCACCTTCCCAACATCGTATTTTGTCATCCACTCTAGATGATAGTCAAAAACTCATTTTCCCACCATTCCTCAGCCTTGCCCCACATTCCTCAGCCTCTATCTTTCCTCAGGATATTTCATCCACATGGCATCCCTACCTCTTATGCCTGCCTGTTGAAATTCTGCCCAGCCTCACGTGACTTTTTTCAAGTGCCAACTTCTTCAAGAGGCCTTATCTGATCCCTCCAACTGAATTCTCTCTCTCCCCACTTTGAATCCCCGTAGCCCTTTTTTCATACCTCTCTCTGATCCCCCCTCTTCCTTTTCATTATAGTGTTTGATTCTTTTTTGTTGTTGTTGTTGTTGTTTTTTGTTTGTTTTGTTTTTTTTTGCTTCAAATTACTTTAATTAATTTTCTAGCCAGGATCATACTAAATAAGACCTCATGACAGTCCCATATGCAGCCATTTTAACTAAAGCATGGCACAGAATGCTCTGACCTGAGCCACAAGCAGCACAGTCACCTCCCCCAAGCACAGGTTGCTGCGGTGAGCCACCCTTTCCTTTTCCTTTCGTGTTTATATTCTTCTCAACTGCATTTCAGTTTCCTAAAGGTCCCAGCCACACAGAGTTCTTTTAGGAATTAAAGTAGAAGGGAAAAAAGTAGAAGCCAACATCCATCCTTGAAGAAAAAATGTAAATCCATTTCATGGTGAACTTCAGCTTCCTGACAGATTTGAGATCAGTGTTCTCCAGTCTGAACATAGTCTTCCGTGACCTGGGAGAGTGTGGTCAGGTACTGCAAGCTCAGGGCAGCCAAGAGCATGACAAAGGACAGGTAGATGGGGGAGTAGTGGCTTCGGGAGATCAGCTGACAGTTGGGAAGATTCTGCGTCGGGATGGTGGAGATGATCTGCCTCGTTTTACTGGAAGATGGGTCTGAGTCGGGGATTCTATGGTAAATCTCTTCCATATACTGATATATGATGGCTTTGACAGCTGGCATGTTGGTGGCATCCATCATCAGGGTCACTGCTTGCCCTTTCCGAATCTTCACTACCCCTCTGAACACCTGCTGGTTATTGTAACAGGCAGCCAAAGTGGCAATGGCCATCACCTGTGGGATAGCACAGAAGTTAAACACGCTCTGGTTTCTGAGTCTCGAAAGGTAGGTGATGACGTCTGGGATGTGGTGCAGCGCGTTGGTTATAAGTTCATTCAGGCACTGCACGGCCAACTCAATATTCTCCGGCTTGGCAAAATCCCCCAGCTTCTTAACATACCTGCTCCAAACCTCTTGAGGCCAAAACTCTCTTCCTTCTTGCTGGTCTTCCAGATAGTCACGAATGATGTTTGTTTTCTGCAGAAACAGGCCCATGGAGTTGGCACGTTCTGTATCTTCACCAACTAAGGGGTCTTCGAACTCTGAGGCCGAGAAGAGACTGGAAAGGCCAATTCCTACCAGCCCAGCAACATAGTGGCAGTACTTGTCCCACTCCTGTTCAGAGGTCACATGCTTATTCAAAAACTCTGCCATCCCAATTCCCATTCTCCGGCAAATGTCAGCGATCACCATTTGGTATTTCTCAGCCAGATTTCTAAACTCGAGGGAGATCGTTGGGAAGTCCTCCAGCACCTGGCGGTCCTTCTCCTTGCTTTCCGTGAACCGCCAGTCTGTCTGGTAAAGGAAAGAGTGGAAGTTGTATAACAGCGGGACCTTCTTTTCCACACTGATGGTCATGTCATCTTCCAGCGTGTCCAGAGCTCGGAGGACCAGATAAAATATGCACACTGCATTGCGCATTTCCCCATCCAGCGCCTGGCTAACAGCTGCGAAACTGCGACTCGTCTGATTCAGATACGTGAAGCAAGTTTTCAGGCTGCTGCTGAGCGAGTCCTGGTCCATCTTGGGCATCACCTTCCGCTTGCCCCCGATGCGGAAGCGCACCAGGTTGTAGAACTCCTCGGGGTGGCCTAGGCACTTTACGAACTCCATCCTGGGGCAGGCGGCGGGCTCCCGGGCTCGGCGTTCACCTCTGCGGTCTTCAGGCTCCCACTGTCAGGCCAGACCTGGGTAGCTGATTCTTATCTCTCATAGAATTTCAAAGCTGGAAGTCATACCCATCCCTACACCTACTACCATTTCACTTCTGCAGCCCCTTTCCTGAGATCAGAGTCACTAACTGAGGCCCAAATCTACTGGCTAGGCTTATTGACCTTCTGATGAATCCATCTCACCTTGGTTTGCCGACAGACCCTCTGAGTATTCGCCAGCCTAGACACGTGTGTTCTACCCATCAGATGGTATATCCCACTGTTTCCCTTGACAGTCTCCCTCCCTGCCTGCACTGTGATCCACCATAGCTTTGCCCCTCAGGGCTGCCTGATTGTGCTCCAGAGGTACCAGCTCTCCAGATGCCTGACTAGGGATGGGACAGGTCTTGTTTTAGATTCTGCCTCTTTCTCCCAGCTCTGTATTGTCCAGCTGAACCCTGAGATGTTGCAGAGTAGTGCTTGTGTGGAGAGGGAACTGGCCCAGTGAAATTCAAAAGGAAGAATATTTCTGTTGCTAATAAGGCAATGGCAGTAAAGAGGTTGGAGGGATCATACTGGACAGTTGTGGGCAGCATTCTTAAGGCACTTGGGGTTTTCTGTGTATGACTATGATCAAGGAAAAAACACTCAGTCAAACATACTTGCAAGCTGCTTGCCTTCTCTCCATTTACTACTGAGCATTCCATCTTTGGCCATTCACCTTCTCCTCCCTCACTTCCTAAAAAGGGATTCTGTGTCTGCCTCAGTTCCTGGCTTTGTGTTATCCAGAACTGGGATAATGGGTAGGAGAGGCTAAAAAAGCTGGTTTAATCGTTTACACTGGGAAGAGGCACAAGAGTGATCTGCTGGAGAGAGAAATTCTGGTAAGGAAATGAGAGTGAGGGGTGGGCAGGATTCAGGGTAGCAACTGTATGTGATGAAGTTGAGAGACGGGGTCTGGGAAAAGTGCTGGGATTTACCAACTACACTCCCTTCTGAAGTTCTTTAAGGCCTCTAGCAGAGCTATGAATTGCTTTTAATTATTTTAATTCTCGTGTGTGTGTGTGTGTGTGTGTGTGCACGTCCGCACGAGTGTGTTTTAAATACAACTCCATGCTAACTGGTCCACGTGGGGCCTTACCTTTCATTTGGAATAGGTGCATCAGACCCACACTACACTTGCTATCCAAATGGTTCCTTGCTTTTTTTTTCTTTCCTGCAGCTCACTCTATACAACAATTCTTTTTTCTCATTGCCAGCCATCATTTATTTTTATCTGATATCGTTCCCTTCCCTCAAATCCTGGCTGTAAGGTAGGAAACAGTCTTCCCAGTTTATCCTTCTTTGTTGATAAAAGAACTTTTGAGTTCTATTTCAATAATTCCATGAGCAATTACCATGGGGAAGCAGAGAGGAGTAAGAAATAGATATGAGAGGCATTCAGTTGTGATCCTCAGCTTAGCGATTTGGGCCTTCCTGAGAAGATAAAATGGAAATCCCATAGACTTCTGAATTCAACTTCTGTCTCTGGAGGTGGAGCTCCTGACTGAACTTCTCTCTCCTTCTGACACTATATTGCAAGGCTATAATAGAGCCAGTTTCTCTGCTGCCCTTTTTTCTCAGCTTATGGGTACTTCTTAATAAAAATAATGAAAACTCCTTTGCCAATAGTACATAACATACATTTCTAAAAACCTCTGGCGTGCTTAACAACGCCTTCTCTGGGCCCAGAGAATTTCCTGTAAGCATATATTCACAGGCAGGCACACATAACAGTTAAATAAAGCCCTGGCCTAGTGGGGGTCAGGGCAACAGAGCTTGGGATGGAGTACAGAGGTTGATACAAAGAGTTCAAATGAAAAGAATGTAAGCATGTAAACCATTAGAATTCTTATAGCGATTATAATTTCCAGAGCAGTTTAGAAAGAGGCTAAAAATAGTTATGTTTCTTCTACATAGTGATTGCCAAGCTGTCTATCATGTAGCATAATATTTACCATGATTTCTATAAACTTTTGGTTTTGTAAATAATAGAGATTAATTACTAGTGTCTGCTGCTTGTAAATAGCACTAGAGATGGAAATCTCCTTAGAGCAGTTGGCTTGATTCTGTGTCTTTGTGAACTCTATCGAAGCTTGCCCCCAAGAACCTGAAAACACTGCTAAGCAGCTTCAATAAGGTAGACACCTGGTGGTAAAATATTCACACTGTCTTTGTACTGAACAGGCTAGGAGATGACTGTTTATGTGAACCCTTTGGCACCTGGACTGTAAGAGATACAAAATTGAAGCCATCTTTCTCAATTAGATTTACTGGTTTCTGCATATAGTGCCATGGAGTTGCCAGTTATTACCTTCTTAGAGTTACTGTCCAGCAGTGGCTGTGCCGTTGCCTCAGGTCCTTCCTGTTGTCTTGTTCCTTCTAGCCTCTGGCCACACAGCTCAGGGCTCTAACCAGACAGCCTATCCGCTGCACAAGACCCTCTAACTTTTTTTTTTTTTTGAGACGGAGTTTTGCTCTTGTTACCCAGGCTGGAGTGCAATGGCGCCATCTCGGCTCACAGCGACCTCCGCCTCCTGGGTTCAGGCAATTCTCCTGCCTCAGCCTCCTGAGTAGCTGAGATTACAGGCACGCGCCACTGTGCCCAGCTAATTTTTTGTATTTTTAGTAGAGACGGGGTTTCACCATGTTGACCAGGATGGTCTCGATCTCTTGACCTCGTGATCCACCTGCCTCGGCCTCCCAAAGTGCTGGGATTACAGGCGTAACTTTGCAAAACGGTCACATAGTATCTGTTTTCCTGAGCTACTTAGAGAATGAAATACCCAAGAAAAATACTGGAATATACCAGCCTCCTTTTTCTGTTGGTGGAAGACCTCTTTCCATCAAAGATCTCTAATTACCTGTCTTTGGAGATTCATTTGTGTTTTTCACAGATCCCTTTAAGCAGAAAGTAGGAATCTACAACAAATATCCCTGAAACTGGGGAAAAGGAGCATTCTGGGCTTCTTGACTGAGACGTCTGTTTCTATAGATTTCTTTATTGAAGAAATAGAACTTCCAGGGCTCACAAATGAGAAGGAAATAGTGCATAGCTGACTGGGAATCTAGCTGGTAATAGCTCCTGGAAGTTGCACACCTTTTCTGAGCAGAGAGGCAGTGTGAGGTAGTGGGATGATGAATGTGGCCTCTGGAGTCTAAAGGCGTGAGTTCCAACCTCGGACCAACCACTTTCTATCTATAGAGTTCTGAGGATAAAGTTAACTCAGGTTTCTATTTCTACACTCCAAAGTGAATGTAATATATTATCATGAGGGTCAAATGATATAACAGCTGCAAATCTCTTCGTAAATTGCAAAGATTGAGGCAGATGTTAGTTATTTCCACATGTTACAAAATGATCATGTAATACAAGTGTTCCTGGACAAAGAAAAGAAAAAATAATTGCAAGAAAGATCCTTGGGTATTATTGGATATTTTTGACTGTTGGGAGACCCTCTGCTGGGGGCTTCCTCCAACAGAGATCTATAGCGGTTTTTCTTTTAGTGTTCAGGCCTTGTATCTTGTGGGTCATGCTCCAGAGGGAGATGTGCAGGAGGTGTAACCTAACCAAGAGGTCGTCAGGGCTCTGTGATAGTAAGACAAGGGCAAGCTTAGCCCACTCCTTCTCAGCATTTGCATATAAAGAGGGGCATTTTTTTTTTAAAGATAAACAGAAAATAGCAAGTGTTGGCAAGAATGTGGAGAAATCCTTATGTACTGTTGGTGGGAAAATCAAGTGGTGCAGCCTCTGTGGAAAACAGTATGGTGGTTCCCCAAAAAATTAAAAATAGAATTGCCATGTGACCAGCAATTACAAGCAGAGTCTTAAGACAGATTTGCACACCCATATTCATAGCAGCATTGTCATAATAGCCAAAGGTGGAAGTAACCCAAGTGTCCATTGACAGGTAAGCGGATGGGATGAACAAAATGTCGTATATACACATGACGGAATATTGTTTGGCCTTAGAAAGGAAGAAAATTCAGACACATTCTACAACATGGGGAAACTTAAGGATAATATGCTTAATGAAAGCAAGTCATAAAAGGACAAATACTACATGAGTTTCTTATATGACGTATTTAGAGTAGTCAAATTCATAGAAACAGAAAGTAGAGTGGTGGTTGCGAGGGACTCATGTAGGAAGAAATGGAAAGTTGTTTAATGGGCATAGTTTGATTTATGCAAGATGAAGAAGTTCCACTGACTAGCTTCATAACAATGTGAATATACTTAACGCTACCGAACTGTATACTTTAAAAATGGTTAAGATAGTAGATTTTGTTTATTTTGCTACAATTAAAAATGGGAAATAAATTAAAAATAAATGGAAAACAAACATTGCAATTTGCAATTCTAAATTTACCCTCTCTGACTTGTGTCTGTTGTCCTCTGGTTCACAAAAGGGCAAACAGCCCAGTCCTTCTCAGTAATTCTGCCCAACAGTGCTTGGGTAAACACAGCTTCAGAGAAGGACCCAGATAAGGCAGAATACAGTTTCCCTGCTCCAGCTTGCATTTCGTTGGCACTTCCCCTTACAAATAATCCTAGGCAAATACTGAAGGAAGAGTTTAGAAGAAAATAGAGCATTGTGTTTAGCAGAGAAGAGAGCAGATATTATTTAGCTGTGTTATTTTAGATATGCCATATTCCACTAACAGCTGGCAAGTTCTTGAAAGCACGGTTCAAAAGCTGTAATTGCTGAATGAAGCTTCAAGAGAATTTACAGAAATGGAAGTGCATTCCTGCAGATTATTAACATAATCATCTCACTTGTATTATAGATGAATACCTAAGATGTCTCCCAACTTGACACTTTATGAAACAGGTAGTTAATTAATGTAGGTAAAGCAGCATTTAACCTGAAGCCTTCCCAGCAGGCGTCTGGCAAGGTGCAAAAGCAGGAAAAAGAATGTAAGGATAAGCAGAGAGAACAAAAGGGTGGCTGGAGCCAAAATCTTGGAAATGGAAATCAGAAAAAAGGAAGGCAGAGGTCTTGCTGAGATTTTTCTGGAGGCCTTGGTGCTATGGACTCACCATTTCTGGGTGGTTACTTGATTTATTTTTGGTGTAGCCATAAGGTGTAAGAATTAACTGCCCATATGAGTGGATGGTCAGGAAGCACAAAATATCCTCCTTCTTGCTCTCTACAAAGCTGGCAACAGCTTTAGTCTCTGGTTCAGACAATGGTCCTGTCCCACAGAATGTTTCATCTTGGCAGTTTCTAGATGCGCCAATACCTAGAAGATGAAAGAAACCGCAAAGGAGGCTTCATGATCTCAGTTTGGAAATGACCAATGGCGAGGAATCATCCAGACTCAGGGCATCTGTGAGTGGAATCTGCGCTTCCCCTTGGTTGTCTGGGTTAGTCCTGGCTAAATTAGTCAACTTGGATAGTTGCTGAAAGATTACCATTCTAGAAGGAACTCAGAATGGCAGAAGGGATAACATTAGGATTCAGAAACAAACTCCATGCTTCCATGGCCGGGGAAAGAGGATGCAAAATCAAATGGCATTTTAGTAATCTTTTACTTAAACCTGTGGCGGGTCCTGAAACAAATGTCTAGAAAGCAGTTCTTGGTTTCCTAGGTAAGGTTCTGACATAGTCTGTTTGATTTAAGTCTCTCCTTCATGTCTTACTAGCTTGAGTCTCATTAGAGCTATTTGGCAAGGACATAAGTAGTCTCTAATCCTCATGAAGAATAATAAGAATGATCCGTTGAGCACCTCTTACCTTCTGGGTACTGTGCCCAACACTTCCTATGTAGCATCCCCTTTAATCCCTGCAGCAACCTACTGATAAGGTAGGGTTACTGTGACCCACATTTTACATAAAAGAAAACTAAAGCAGAGGGATGAAGCAATTTTTCAAGACCACACAGCTGCCAAGTCTCAATTTTAACCCTTCCCATCTGGTTAATGGCAACGTTCTCAGCCATTCCTCCTTATTTGCTTCCAATTCACCGGGCATATTGAGATTTGGAAAGATGAAAATGCCATAAGGAGAGAAAAATGTTTGCTTTGTTTACTGTCTGCCCCCTGCTATGAAATCATCTTCAAGGATAAGTCTCTGATATTTCTTTTCTTTATGATAATTCATATATTTAAAAACAAAGGGATGGATTTGAAATGTATTCACACTGGTCTAGCTCTACTGTGTTCTTGTATAGCCAGTCTCACTTGAAGAGAGTCCTGTACTTGAATGTTGATACCCCTTACCATGTAGATAATATTATCTTGGTAGAGGGAATAAAACTCATCAGGAAGCTCAGAAAGCTGTACCAGATTAGGTGTTTATTTTCAAAAATTATATATTTAGTAATTCAACTCTTTTCTTACTTCTAAGCCTTATTTATTTGTTTATAATTCATCTAAGCTTGTACTTACTACACCAAGATGCATTGAAATTTCTATTGAGATCCGTCCCAAAACATGTGCCATTATTATGGGGTGAACGGGATTTCCTCCAAAGACGATCCTGTAGCAGAGGAACATAGGGATGTTACTGTTCTAAGATTTCATAAATCACAGTGTTAGTGATGATTAGGTGTTTCTTGAACATGAAAAATGTTTCCTAGAATTATCTGGAAGAATGTCCCTTCAACATTAGGCAGCTTGTGTGTGTAATTTTTAGTATTGCGGATGGAATAGCAGCCCCCAATAATAGGAACACCTGTACAACCCAAAGTATGCATACGTGTAAACAATTAAATTGGAGGAAGTAGTTTGGCCTTTTCTTCATGAGCAGATTAGCAGCGGCTGTGGACGTGATCTGCTTACTCAGGGAATGTTTGTTTTGGAGTCATTTTTTACGTCCAAGTGATACAGGATGAAAAGGAAATAGCTTGACAGATGGAAAAAGGCTGTTCCAGGTGTGTCAGAGATGATCTCTGCTCATTTCTGGAAGCTGAAGACTGATGAGTGGAGATGCGAATAAAGACAAGTGTCATCAGAGAAGCTCAGAGGGAGGACTCGATTCACACACCAGGCCAGAAAGGCTGTTACAGAGAAAGGGGCCCCTGAGTTCCTTAGGAGAGCAATGGGTAAGGAGAGGCAATGAATACTCTCTAGAAATAGGGCTCTTATTTGAAGAGTGATAAATCTTTAGGAACATTTTAAAGAGACAGTTGTCTGGTGCATAAAAAGCCTTTATGTGATGTTTGCCCCCTGTGTGAATGATTACATTAAAAAATGTAGGCTGGTTTGTATTTATACATTATTCATTCCCTTCATGCTTCTAGAACTGATTTGACATGGATGCAAGTTGGTATGTGAATTTTTATCAATATAATCCTAATTGGGTGGCAGGCAAACATTAAGAAGATGGAAGAGGAGAGTAAAAAACAAAGAAACAGCCTATAATGGACTTCAACTCTAAAAAGGCTTTAGGCTTCCTCAGGCTAACTTAATGTAGATGGTTTGATTAAAAATGTTAAGCTGATTTTTATCCCAAATAGGGTTCCTTTCTTTACATATGTGTAAAATATTTTTAGAGCTGGAATGGCTAACATTGGAAAATTAACCTGAATTGAGCTTTAGTTCATGAACGCATCCCAAGACCAAACATGGTGTACTCACAGTTGTCCAGGTGTAGATATAACCGTCTATGTTAAGAACTGGAAGGATATAGAAGTCCAGGTTTCTAAGGAACTTGTGTATCCTTGAGTTGTCTTTGTAGTTTTGTAGAATCTGGGAATTTAAGAGAGAAACAGAATTATTTTGAGAAAGGATCTTTTCTCTCTTAATTTTCTACCAATTTCAACTTAATTATAAGAGGTGACTGCACATCACACCTCCACCCTCCAGCCACCAGGCCCTCCTAGTTGTCTTATTATGGTAGTTGTTCCCAAACTTTGTCATGCATCAGAATCACCTCGGACTTGTTAAGACACAGATTGCTGACCTCTACCCTCCCTTATCCCCATTCACCTCCTGCTATCCTTGTCTTTGGGCATTTCTAATTAACTGTGTTTGAAATGGAGCCCAAGACTTTGTATTTCTGGTAAGTTTGCGGTTGGTATTGATGCTGTTGATCTGGGGACAACACTCTGAGAACTACTTTCTACGGGTTTCTCTGTGTTTGGGTTTCTGAAAAGACTGGCCAAGAAAGTATTCTGTATTACTTTTAAAAGTTTCTTATTCTCTCAAGGGAGGAGTGTAAGTAATACACAAAAATTCACTGTGCTGGGTATTTTCCATGTGCTAAATCTCTTAATTCACACTACAGACCCATGAAGTACTTATTTCATACTCTTTTTATAGATGAAAAACTAGAAAATTTGCCAAATACTATCAGAAAGAGGCACAGCCAGGATTCAAACTCATCTCTGACTCTGTAGACATATTGTCTTCCATATTTAGATATGTTTATCCTCCAATAAAAATTACTGTGGATGCAAAAGAGATCAGAATATCAATTCAGTTTTCAATGAAGTTTCTCATTAATTTTATTTCACTTGAGGTTAAGGATTAGCACAGTAAAGAGTTGCATCACTAACATGTGAAAGAAGTGTGGTTTGTAAGTAGCCAAGAAGTGACAGGTATTTTATGGGGATGATTTACCAGTACCAGGAAGCTAAATACACTTACTTCTTTGACAAACCATTGGCAAAAAGCAGGGGCAATCCATTCTCTGGCATGAATTCCGCAGTCCATCCAAATGATCTTTTTGGGATTACCAGACAGTTGGCTGATCTGGAAAAGACATCCATGCCCCAATACCAAACAACTGCTTATTATTGTAAGCCACTGTGCAAACTTATCAGATTTTTGATTCCCCTACAGGTCCCTTTTTTACTCCACTCTGTGGTTTCAAGAGGGAGGCAAGGATGCTAATGAGACACCCATCAATATCATTCTTTCCTCCGTCACTCTTGTTCTCCTGCCAGTTACCTTGATGGTTGTTCTCAGGACCACGCACTGACTCCCCATGGTACCCACCCAAAGAATGATTTTCTTTATACCTTAAATTATTCCCTAACTGTAGGTAAAGGCATAACCCCTAATCCACAAGCTAAGAGGCTAAATATATATAAACCTTATAAGACCTTTGCACTTGGATTCACTTAGAGTGGTGAAGTGTGCAAGAGGTAATATTCAAGAATCATAGGTGTTTAAAAATGAATCCCAATCTCTACTCAGAATTTTTGAAATTTCGAATGGATTCAAATATACAAATTCCCCTTCCCCTCAGAGACTCCCTGACTCCCTGCCAGCCCGATCTTCTTTCTTTCTCCCTATTTGCTATTCTTGTATATCATTGCAGCCTCACTGAGATTCCCCTCTTTCAGAGTGGTGGGTGGGTGGGAATTAATCTGCTAATTGTGGATTCTCTTTGGTAGAGAAGAGGCTGTTAACACTCCCATGCTTGGAACAGTCACATCTGTTTTGGATTTGTAAATAGCCTATACCAGGGCTATTTGTTGAAAACCATTGGGAGCTGGGCAGATGAAGGCTCTCTTCCTCTCTATGAGAAACTTACAAATTGAGGTAAATACATGGCTGGATCTATCATATTCAAGGAATTTTCTCTTTTATGTCTCATCCAATTTTTCAAACTGTCAGGACAATTCCTAATCCACCTCTCCCTTAATGTTCTCTTATAATTAGCCTTTTTATGAGTACATGTATGCTAGTTGCATGTTTATCTTTATCGACTCTTTATTATGTGCACATTCGATTTTGTATAATATGCCCCAGGCAGAGGATATTTAGGTATCTTTTTGGCTGCTCTACTGTAGACTTGGATGGCCTATAGAAATTCAGGTAGGCAGGTGCCCCACGCTTAATATATCAACCAGTTGCTCATATAATCCCTGGTAAATCCTATTTCAGAGCCAATATTGTTTTTGGTGATGTAGTTAACTCTCAAATTTAGGGCTGTGCTTTGTAAATTCACATACCTACACTAAGTAATAAGAGCTAAGTAATACTGGTTCTTAATGCCATAGTACTTTAGTAGTCCCGTGGTATCAGCATCACCTAGGAACTTGTTAGAAATGCACTGTGGTATTGCTACTCACCCTTTTGGCCATGATTAAGTGTAACAATGCACTGTGGTTCTGAAACTTGAGTGTGTATCAGAATTGCCTGGAGGAAAATTTGTTAGAACAGATTGTTGGGCTTCAGCCTCTGAGCTTCTGATTCAGTAGACCTTTGCCGGGACCTGAGAATGTGTATTTCTAACGAGCCCTCAGGTGATGCTGCTGCCGATTTAAGTACTGCCCTTTGAAAACCATAGGTTTGGAGCAGAGATTGTCAACTCTGGCTACACAGTAGGATCACCTAGACAGTGTTCGAAGTGTGTCATGTCCCATCCTGACACAACTGGGTCAAAATGTCTAACCGGATTAGGTAGGGTCTAGGCATAAGGATTATTGGAAGCTCCCAGGTGACTTTATTGTGCAGCCAGAATCGAAAATCACTAGTCTAGAACCAGGAGCCCAGAGGTACTTCCTGTACCTGTGGAAAAATGGCTTTTTGGTCCCAAATACTTTTGGTCATGTTGTATGGAAAAGGGGTAGGAGACCCTGGAGACCTGGTTATATCCCCTTGGCTACGCTGACATCTGCCTGCATGGCCTTTCACAAGTCACCTCACTTCTCTAGATCTTTGTTCCCTTAACCATAAAAGGAAGAAACTAAAAATGAAGGTTGTCTGTGATTTTTAAACATTTTTGTTTTTTTTTAAATAACATTTTAAAAGTTAGAAATAGAAACAAAATAACAACTTAAAATACAATGTCCACTTCTGGGCCCTGCTGTTTTTCAGCCCTACCCCCTTAGTCCCACCCAATTCTCCCAGTTTGCAGCCATCTCAATTCTCTTCACTCCTCAACTTGATTTCACCCAGATGATTAAGGCAAGAGCATCTATGAGTTTCGAACTTTAAAAATCCAGTTTGGGGTGGAAAAAGCAAAGTCATTCTTCGTGGCCTCTTTTCCATAATTCTGATTAGAGTCCCTAAATGGTAAACACATATCCTCAGATTGGATAATTGTCCCAGTAAGGTAATTGTCAGCCTTCTCACTCACCTTCAAATAATACATGGAATGGGTCTCATAGGTCACTCCTAGGAAATGCTGTGTCACCACTTCCTTGTACTTCTCACTGATCTCTCTCATCCACTGATAGATCTGAAACAGCCAGGGAGGACTGTTGCTATCAATAGAAGATTGTTTGCATGCCTCTGATTAAGATAACTGCTTCTTTCACTGACACATTGAACTCTGTTATCTTTGCTCTAGATTGCAACAGCTGTGTGGTAAAAGAAACGGAAAACAAAACCTCCCGCCTTTCCTTTTCTTTAACAATCTACTCTGTCACCAAGTCTTAGGATCTACCATTGCACTTTACAAATAAGTTATTAAGAATTAACAGTTTGAATAAACTTCCAATACCACTTCAGAAATATTGCAAACAGTGCATCCTTTAATTGACCACCAGCCTTAGCTTTCATGTGGGACACAATCATGCCAGAAATTTCAGGTTAGGCTTATTTTGTGAGGTTTTCTTTCATCTTTACAGATCCCAGTGATATCTTTTGCTGATGTTCATGTGATATGGTTTGGCTGTGTCCCTACCCAAATCCATCTTGAATTCTATAATCACCACATATCATGGGAGGGACCCTGTGGGAGGTAATTGAATCGTGGGGGTGGGTTTTCCCTGTGCTGTTCTCATGATAGTGAATAAGTCTCAGAAGATCTGATGGATTTAGAAGGTGCTTTCCCCAACCCCCTTCACTCTTTACTTCTCCTTGCTGCTGTCATGTGAAGAAGGACTTGTTTGTTTCTCCTTCCACCATGATTGTAAGTTTCCTGAGGCCTCCCCAACCCTGCTGAACTGTGAATCAATTAAATCTCTTTCCTTTATAAATTACCCAGTCTTGGGTATTCCTTCATAGCATTGTAAAAATGGACCAATACAGTAAATTGGTACCAGTAGAGTAGGTGCTTCTACAAGGATACCTGAAAATGTGGGTGTGATTTTGGAACTAGGTAACAGGCAGAGGATGGAACAGTTTGGAGGGCTCAGTAGAAGATAGAAAAATGTGGGAAAGTTTGGAACTTCCTAGAGACTTGTTGAATGACTTTGACCAAAATACTGACAGTGATATGAACAATAAAGTCCAGGCTGTAGTGGTCTCAGATGAAGATCAGGAACTTGCTGGGAACTGAAGCAAAGGTGACTCTTGTTTTGCCTTAGCAACAAGACTGGAGGCATTTTGCCCCTGCCCTAGAGATCTGTGGAAATTTGAACTTGAGAGAGATGATTTAGGGTATCTGGAGGAGGAAATTTCTAAGCAGCAAAGTGTTCAAGTGGTGACAGAGCATAAAAGTTTGGAAAATTTGCAGCCTGACAATGCCATAGAAAAGAAAAACCTATTTTCTAGGGAGAAATTCAAGCATGCTGCAGAAATTTGCATAAGTAATGAGGTGCCAAATGTTAATCACCAAGACAAGGGAGGAAATGTCTCCAGGGCATGTGCCAGAGACCTTCACAGCAGCCCCTCCCATCACAGGCCTGGAGGTGTAGGAGGAAAAATTGGTTTCATGGGCCTGGTTCAGGGACCCCCTGCTCTGTGCAGCATAGGAACTTGGTGCTGTATGTCCCAGCTGCTCCAGCCATTGCTAAAACAGGCTGAGGTACAGCTCAGGCCATGGCTTCAGAGGGTGAAAGGCCCAAGCCTTGGCAGCTTCCATATGATGTTGAGCCTGCAGGTGCACAGAAATCAAGAACTGAGGTTTGGGAACCTCCACCTAGATTTCAGAGGTTGTATGGAAATGCCTGGATGTCCAGGCAGAAGTATGCTGCAAGGGCAAAGCCCTAATGGAGAACCTCTGCTAGGGCAGTACAGAAGGGAAATGTGGGGTTGGAAACCCCCCACAGAGTCCTACTGGGGCACTGCCTAGTAGAACTGTGAGAAGAGGGTCACCATCCTTCAGACCCTAGAATAGTAGATCCACTGACAGCTTGCACCATACAGCTGGAAAAGCTGCAGACACTCAATGCCAGCCAATGAAAGCAGGCAGGAGTGGGCTGTACCTTGCAAAGCTACAGGGGCAGAACTGTCCAGTGTTATAGGAGCCCACCTTTTGCATCAGCATGACCTGGATGTGAGACATGGAGTCAAAGGAGATTATTTTGGAGCTTTAAGATTTAATATCTGCCCTATTGGATTTCAAACTTACATGGAGCCTATGGCCCCTTTGTTTTGGTCAATTTCTTCCATTTGGAATGGGTGTATTTACCCAATATCTCTATCCCGATTGTATCTAGGAAGTAACTAATTTGTCTTTGATTTTACAGGCTCATGGGGGAAGGGATTTGCCTTGTCTCAGATGAGACTCTGGACTATGGGCTTTTGCATTGATGCTGAAATGAATTAAGACTTTGGGGGACTGTTGGGAAGGCATGATTGATTTTGAAATGTGATGACATGAGATTTGGGAAGGGCCAGCAGCAGAATATATGGTTTGATTGTGTCCTCCCAAAAAAACTCATCTTGAATTGTAGTTTCCATAATCACTACATGTCATGGGAGGAACATGGTGGGAGGTAATTAAATCATGGGGAGCAGGGCAAGTTTTCCTGTGCTGTTCTCATTATAGTGAATAAGTCTCAGGAGAGCTGATGGTTTTATAAAGGGCAGTTCTCTTGCACACACTCTCTTGCCTGCTGCCATGTAAGACATACCTTTGCTCCTCCTTCACCTTCCACCATGATTGTGAGGCCTCCCCAGCCATGTGGAACTGTGAGTCCATTAAACCTCTTTCCTTTACAAATTACCCAGTCTCAGGTATGTCCTTATAGCAGCATGAGAACAGACTAATACACCATGGTTCCAATATTAGAGAAGACCTGAGTATGGCCTTCTCACAACATGCCAACAGAAGTCTCTGTATCAAGTCCTAAGTTTGTTGTTTTGATTCAACTGAATAGACCTGAATAGCTGCTGATTTAATTACAAGTCTTATGTTGTGCTTAGAAAGAGTCTTATACCTTGGACTAGAAGTCCATACTGGGATTCTGTAACAGTGAATGCAATAAGCAAATTCACAAACATAAGACCTATTCAGGCAATCATCAGCATTTCACACCTCTTACAATCAATTTCTATATAGTTGATGTCTCTGATAACAAGCAAGAGTTATAGTAAATAATAGTTAATTGAGGGATAATAAATATCCTATTTGAAAATTTTTATATCTCAATTGACATTTATTTTAGCATGAGATAGATATAGATAAAATGTATTATAACAGTAATAATACTTAAGTATTTTCATTTCAGTCTATTTACTGAAAAGTGTAACAGCTTACTACATGGGTAGTTGTATCTGTGATGGGACTAGGTCAAATGCAGATGCCTTAAGTCTTGAGAGAGCTACAGATAGCAGCCAGTAGCAGCAGCAAATACTCTTTATGTATTGCTTGTGCAGTACATGGTAGTATTATTTATTTCATTTACTCTCACAACAATGCTACAAGATAGATACTACTATTCCTATTTCACAGATGAGGAAGCTGAAGATTAAAAAGTTTCAGTGTCTTTGTGAAAGTCACACTGCCAGCAAGTGGTCAAGCCAGGTGTGAACGCATCTCTACTACCAGGTCATAAAGTGTCCATGGGCCATACTCGACCTTTTCAAAATTGTAGAATGTTCAGTACTTTGGGGGTGATTTCTATATAGGAAAGTGTACATCTTTTCTTGTACTTGTTGAAAAACATTCTGGAAAATATGAATATATTTCCAAATGCTGAGCGAATAAATTGGTAAAGGCCACATGAAGGGAAAATTGCACATTTATATAAAAATGTAGGTGTGCATATTCTTTGACCCGGCAATTCTATTTTTAGAAATTTATACTGCAAAAAAGATTTGCATAATGTCACATACATATACACATACACATACATACATAAGTAGAAGCTAATTTTTTACTGTATCCAATTTTGGAAACCACCAAACTTATCTTAATAGCAGTACAAATATTTCTTTAAAGAAACAGTTTTTCCCTCTTAAGAACTGCTGCATGTGTCTCATAAATCTTACAAGAAATAGGTTTTCAGCTACACATGATTCAATCAGAAGGCTTCTCCACCTCACACCCATATAAACAGCAAGGCTGCCCAGCTTAAACTTGGTAAGAACTTGACAAATGAAAATAAGAGTTAATTCTGGTTTATGTTCACAGCAGCAAAACTGGCTAATTGAGATGTTCTTGTCCATTTTCTTTTTATTATTCGTTTTTCAACATTTCGTATCACCAGCTTTTACAGCTTCAATGGTGGTGGTGGGTGAGAACATGTTCAGGAATCCCTTGAACTCAATGTACTGGCAGATCTTAATGCCACATTTTCAGCCTGTCCAATGCATGGATATTAATAGTGAACTATTCTTTGCCCATCCTAAAGTAGGTTGTGACAACCACCAATCTCCCCCCATGGGTCCTTCCTCACCTCTTCCATGGGGTGGTATTTGTTATAGGAATATGTCTCCAGGCTCCATGGACTCACTGACTTGTCCACAATCTCTTGTCTGTGTTGTGCTAAGAATCTACAAAGGGAAGAAAGTAAGATGAAAAGCAGTGATGAAACTCGGATATCCTGAGGGTTGGAGGGTTGATGAAAAAGGTAGTAGAATCAGTGTGCACAGCATTTGGAGGACAAAGGCCTGTGTTGGCATCTTTGGCTGTCTGACTTACTAATTGTGAGAACTTGGGCATCCATTGAGCCACTCTGACATGAAGTTTCTTCATTTGTAGAGTGAGGACAATTATTCCAACCTTGTAGGGAGGCTAAGATAATTCAATAAAATATTGTAGATAAAAATACTTCTAAGTTTGTAATTGAAATATCAACTAAGATTTATCGAAGTGAAATTTATGAGACATGCTTAGAACACTAAGCAATTTAAATCTCATTTACTTCTCTCTAAAACTCTGAAATAGGTACTCTTATTATCTCCATTTCAGAGATGAAGAAACTGAATCACAGGGAAAGTATTATTAGGGGTTTAAACCCTGACTGGAGTCTGACTGAAGACCCTGGAATATTAACTACTGTACTGCATATAATGGCGAGAACTAATTTTTTTTGCAATGATTTATCTTTTTATGCAGTGGTTTATCTTTTTTAAAGTAAACTTTATTATTTAGAGCACTTTTAGGTTCACATAAAAATTAAGCAGAAAATGCAGATAGTTCCCATATATCCACTATCCTCACATATGCAAAATCTTCCCCACTGTAGACATCCCACACCACAGTGGTACATGGGTTAGAATGAATGAACTTGCTTTGATACATCATTCTCACCCAAAGTCCATTGTTTATATTAGGGCTCATGCTTTGTACATTCAATGGATTCTGACAAATGTTTGATGACACATATTTACCATTATAGTAAAATACTAAATAGCTTGTTTTGTTTTGTTTTTGAAACAAGGTCTCACTTTGTTGCCCAAGCTGGACTGCAATAGCCATGATCATAGCTCACGCAGCCTTGGACTCTGGGCTCAGAATACCCTCCTATCAGTCTCTCAAGTAATTGGCACTACAGGTACAAGCCACTACACTCAGCTATTTTTAATTTTTGTAGAGAAAGGTCTCACTGTGTTGCTCAGGCTGGTCTCAAACTCCTGGCCTCAAGCAATCCTCCTGCCTCAGCCTCCCAAAGTGCTGGGATTATAAATGTGAGTCACTGAGCCAGGCCCAAAATTGTTTTAATGCCTTGGAAATCCTGTATATTCTTCCAGTTTATCCCTCTCTTTCCCTAACCCCTGGCAACTACTGCTCTGTTTACTTCTCCATAATTTTGCCTTTTCAGAATGTAACATAGTTGGAATCATAAAGTGTGCAGCCTTTTCAGATTAGCTTCTTTCACTGAATAATATGCATTTAAGTTTCCTCTATGTTTTGTCATGGGTTAGTAAGCTAATTTATTTATTAGTTCAGTATAATATTCCATTGTTTGGATATAACACAGTTTATTTATACATACATATCTACTGAAGAACATCTTGGTTGCTTCCAAGATATGCATATTATGAATAAAGCTGCTGTAAACCTCCTTGTACAGGTTTTTGGGTTGACATGTTTTCAGTTAATTTGGATAAATACTAAAGAGTGCAATAGTTGGATCATATGGTAAGAGTTTGCTTTATAAGAAATTGCCAAACGGTCTTCCAAAGTGGCTATCCCATTTTGAATTCCCATCAGCAACAAATGAGAGTTCCTGTTACTCCACATCCTTGTCAGCATTTAGTGTTGTCAGTGTTTTGGATTTAGGCCATTCTACTAAGTGAGTAGTGTTACCTCATTGTTGTTTTAATTTGCGATTCCGTAGTGACATATGATGTAGACTATCTGTTTTATGTTTACTTGCTATCTTTGTATTTTCATTGATGAGGTGTCTGTTCAAGTCTTTTGTCATTTTTCAAATCAAGTTATTCCTTTTCTTGTTGTTGAGTTTTAAGAATTATTTATATATTTTGGATAACAACCTTTAAGAGATGTGTGCTCTGCCAATATACTCTGTCAGTTTGTGGCTTGTCTTCTTGTTTCTTGACATTACCTTTTGCAGAGTAGAAGTTTCCAATTTTAATGAAGTCTAGCTTATCATTTCTTACTTTCATGGGTTGTGCCATGTGTGTTGTATCTAAAAAGTCATCACCAGACCCAAAGTCATTTAGGGTTCTCTTATGTTATCTTCTAGAGTTTTATAGTTTTGCATTTTATATTCAGGTCAATGACATTTTTTGAGTTAATATTTGTGAATGTGCAATGTCTATGTCTAGATTCACTTATTTTGTATTTGGATGTCTAGTTGTTCCAGCACTATTTGCTGAAAAGACTATGTAGTTCCTTTATCAAAGATCTTTTGACTGTATTTACGTAGGTATATTTATGGAATCCCTGTTTTCTCCTTTTGCTTTGTTTATTTTGTTGCCAGTAACACCTGTCTTGATTACTGCAGCTTTATATTAAGTCTTGAGGTTGGGTACTGTCAGTCTTTGACTTTGTTCTTCTCTTTCAATATTGAGTTGAATATTTTGGATCTTTCAATTTGCCATAAAAACTTTAGAGTCAGTTTGTCAATAATCACTAAATAACTTGCTATGAAGTTGGGAAGAACTGACACCTTAACAATATTGAGTCTTCCTGTCTATGAACATAGATGTTCCATTTATTTAGTTCTTCTTTGATCTCTTTCATTAGAGTATTTTAGTTTTCCCCATGCAGATCTTGTACAAGTTTTGCTAGATTTATACTTAAGTATTTTATTTTGAGGCGTGCTAATGAAAATAATAACTTGTTTTTAATTTCATACTTTACTCGTCCATTTGCTGTTACATAGGAAATCAATTGACTTTCTTTTTTTTTTTTTTTTTTGAGTTGGAGTTTCACTCTTGTTACCCAGGCTGGAGTGCAATGGCGCAATCTCGGCTCACCACAACCTCCGCCTCCTGGGTTCAGGCAATTCTCCTGCCTCAGCCTCCTGAGCAGCTGGGATTACAGGCACGCACCACCATGCCCAGCTAATTTTTTGTATTTTTAGTAGAGACGGGGTTTCACCATGTTGACCAGGATGGTCTCGATCTCTTGACCTCGTGATCCACCTGCCTTGGCCTCCCAAAGTGCTGGGATTACAGGCTTGAGCCACCGCACCCGGCCCAATTGACTTTCTAATATAAACTTTGTATCCTGCAACTTTGCTATAATTGCTTTTACCAGGAGATTTTTGTTGTTGTTGATTCTTTCTGATTTCTACATTGACAATCATGTCATCTTCAAAGACAGTTTTGTTTCTTCCCAATCTGCCTTTATTTTCTTTTCTTGTCTTATTACATTAGCTAGAACTTTCAGTACAATATTTAAAAAGAGTGGTGAGAGGGAACATCCTTGCCTTAACCTTAGGCGGAACACTTCTGGTTTCTCATCATTAAGTGTAATGTTAACCATAGATTTTTTGGAGAAGCTGTTTATTGAGGAAGTTCCCTACCACCTTTTTTAATAAAAAATGGGTGTTAGATTTTGTCAAATGCTTTTCCTACATCTATTTATATAATCATGCTGTGTTTCTTCTTTAGCCTATGGGTAGGATGGATAGTATTAATTGATTTTTTAATGTTGAATGAGCCTTGCATATCTGGGACAAATTCCACTTGATTGTCGAATTAGATTGATCTAATTCTTTTTATACATTGCTGGATTTGATTTGCTAGTATTTTATTAAGGATTTTTCTATCAGTGTTTGTGAGAGATATTGGTCTGTAACTTTCTTCTCTTTTAATTATTTGTTAAGATAATACTGATTTCATAAAATAGGAAGTATTCTCTCTGCCTCTATTTCTAGAAGAGATTTCAGAGAATTGATATAATTTCTTCCTTAAATGTTTGGCAGAATTCACCGCTGAACCTATCTTGGCTCGGTGCTTTCTGTTTTAGAAGATGATTTACTATCCATTCAACTTTTTAATAGATAGGGACTTATTCCAAATATCTATTTATGATTTACTTTTTAACAAACAGCTTACTAAAGATACTCAGTTCTCCTCTTTACCAGATATTGTGCTCATACCTAAGAGAAACATTCATGCACAGTATATAATTTTATTCTCACTATAACTCTGTAAATTGTTATTCTCTATATGTTACAAATGAGGAAACTGAGACCAAGAGAAATTAAGAAATTTGCAAAGAGTCACAGAGCTAGTAAGGCACACAGCTAATATTCTATCTCTATGCTGCACAAATATTTGTTAAATGTCTTAGTTTCCTAGTTTAAATGCTGTATGTAAGCAAGAAATGGGGTTATATTTTTATTGTGAGAGCATATTAAGTGGTAATTCATTTACCCAGCAAATATGTATGGAATGACTACTATGTTAATGGCATTGGAGTATGAACTTTTGGAGCTGCTGGTGTACAAACTTCTATATAGTGATTCTGAATTGCAATGAAATGTGTTAGAGATCTAATTTGCTAATATTTCTATGACTTTTATCCTACATTTTCTTGAGTATTCAAAAGATGCTCAAAATAGTATTGTATCTTCTCTTTCTCTAAGTTTTTATTTCTTTGTTGCTAAAATGGGAATAATAATAGTACCTTCCCAAAGGATTTTTTTGAGGATCGAATAAGCTAATAATCTGTGTTTAACAATGAGCACAATTTCTGTCACAGAGTCAATTCCTAGTAAGTGTTAAAATACAATTCAAAACAAAACAAAAGCCCTATTTAGCTGCATAGTATTAAAAATAAAAATTGTACAAAGAATAATTTAGCCATTCAACTAGTATTATCCACAAACAATGCCAGACTACAAAATGTTTTGATAGAATTAATTATAACTCAAGTTCCAGTCATATCTATGTAAGTCCTAATTTTATTTTTTTTCTAGTTCACTTAGCATCATGTACCACATTAAGCTGCTCCAATGGAAATAAATTTCTCCACACAATTCCACTTTAAACTTAGAGTTACATTTATTATTGTTAATTGTTAGTAATATTAATAATAATTTGAACCTAACAGAAGCTCTTTGTCCTCAAAATTATAAATGTTTTTATTACATTGTTGAATGAAGTTTTTCCTGTTAGCTTGTCCAAATGAAAAGACAGTCTCAATGTCTTCATGAAATAGAATTTTCTAAATAATTGATTTAAACAATAAAAATGAATTTTAAAAGAAGATGTTATTTACATTGTAATAGTTGAGGAACGATTTTCTTTTTCATGTTATTCACAAATCTATTACTAATATTTACCATTCATTTGATTTTTTAATGAACAGGGATGCATCAAAGTGAGAAATTTTAATATAAAAATATATACTGGTGCAAGCAATATGTTGTGGCTGATTGCTTTACAAAAGATGATCATTTTGTAAAGAAAATACATGTATTTTCTACTGTAGCTAAAATTCATAAAAAATTCATTTTTAACATACATTTTCAGGAGCACGTCTCATATCTCTACAAAGTAATCAGCAAATATATATATATATTATAATAACAACAGTTAACCCTTACTGAGCACTATATGCTAGGAAATGGTCAAAGCACTTTATATTACTATCTTATTTAATTCACTCAACAACCCAATGTGTATATACTCTTACTACTCTATGCAAAAGTAGTAATAGTAGTAATCGAAAAGCAGATTTTTTTCTTGCAGAATTTAAAATCTACTTCAGACAATAAGACATAAACACATGGACAGCAAAATAACTTAGCCATTAAATAACAAAGCAGGAGGTGTGATAAGCTAGTGCCTGATTAACTACCAATGAAATGGTGCACAAAGTGTATTAAGGTCAGGAGAGGGAGAATTCCAAATTCAAGCATAGCCAATGATAACAACCAATATTTTACAACAATTATGTATGATAGGAACTGTTCTAAAAACGTGGTATCTATATCATGTCTGTCTCTCTGTTTATCACCTATCTGTTCTCATTTAATTGTAACAATAATTCTTAAGGTAAATACTATTATCCCAGTGTTTTTTTTTTTTTTTCTGAAGACTTTGTTACATAGCTTTAACTATTCTTTTATTACATCCTAGAAAATAAAGATGAAGTATTAAGTAGTTTACTTTTAGGGACTAAAATATTATCCAAATTGTCTACCTCTGTTTGGGACTACAGAGAATAAAAGTAAGTATTATGAAGTCCCTAGAAAATCATTTTAATACTTTCTCAGAATGGGAAGAGGAGAGGGAATGATACAAATGAAGAGGACATGCTTTTAACTTCCCCTAGCCCCCCACTCCCTGTCTCTTATTCCTCATACTGGCTGTTTGGCCCATCCTGTCCTGCCAGGAAATAAGATCATTGACGGTGCTTTCCCAGCAGTGTTGAGAACAAGGATGCTGGCTGCTCTTCCTTTCTTCACATAGTTTAGCAAATGTTTGGGTTTTTCCTCATCACAGTTATCTACTCAGTGGTCTAGGAAAGTAAATATACTAAAAAGCGGGGTTTGCACCTAGTGAATTCCTGTTTCAATTGGGCTGGGATTCCCTGGCAATACCATAGCACTGAAGGGAATAAATTAAGTAAAGATAACCTAACACCCTCAGGCGTTTGCCTTACGCTTGGCTAACATCTACAAAATTGTGAGTCTGTTACTTCCTAAAAGCATTGACCAACTGGGTCCATTTCATATTCAAAAAAGTGAATGGTCTGGGATTTAAGTGAAAGCCCCTGATATTAAAAGTGCGCATCACTTGTAGAGGAAACTAAAACACATTACTTAAACCTCAGAAACTCTAATACTTTGTTCAAATGAATGCTTAAACCATATACTTAGAAAAGGCTATTCTCTGTTTCTAGGCAATTTCTTAGGTGATGCATAATACATGTAGAGAGGGGAGGAAAAAGCTGGCTAATCTCCCAAATTATTACCAGACTTATCTCGCTGATCAAATGAAAAGATTATTGTACTTTTTGTATTCTTTTTGAACAGGAATTCATAAAATGTTTAATAGAGAAAATGATCCTTTGGGGTACATTATTAATAAAGTCTGCAGATCAAAGATGATGGTCTGAGAGTACTTTGACTGGAATGTATAAAGAGGCAAAAAAAATCCTAATGAATATTGAGTCAAATTTTGTATTTTAAATACTTGGTGAAGAAATCGTTACATGAATATTTCATGATAGTTCTGTATTTTCAAACTTTATTTTTCTGCTTACAAAATTAACATATGTGTAACATGGAAAATTTAGAAAGTATGGAAAGGCAAAAAAGGAGGAAAAACAGAAAAAAGAAGAAAGAATTATCAATAAATCCACCTCCCTGCATTAACTACTACTGATATTTTGGCATGTCCTGTTTTTCTTAAATGCAGGGCAGATTATATCTATATGTAATTTTGTATTTGTTTCTTTCTATTCTAAATTCTACCAAAGATATTTTCTCAAACCGATGAAAACTCCTTAATGGTTACACACTATTTGACAGTAAGTATATGTTACATAGTATCATTTATTTAAATAGTTTCTTCTATGCTGGTTATTAAAGCTATGGCCCTTTTTGTTTTTATACCATTGTAAATAATTCCAGAAATAATAGCTTTTTGTATAAATCTTTGTTCTCATTTTCTATTGTTTCCTTGAGCTACGTTCCAGAAAGAAGAATTAGTAGATCAAAGAGGATGAACATTTTCAAGCCATTCGAATGATATTGCTATCATTCCCACCTGATTATACAGAGTTACACTTTTTTAGGATGTATGCAATGCATAATATGTCGGAGACCACCTTCCTAAATCCTCAAGAGAAATATTACAAAGCTTGTAATCTTTATTAATTTTAGATTCTCTAGACTATTATCATACATAGTGAATAAAGATTATCAAAAATTGCAGCTAACATATGTTTTGAGTTGGTGAGAGTTCCATAAAAGTGAACATATTTTATATCAATAACCAGTAATTAAAATAAAAACAGCCAATAAAGACAAGCATGGTCAGGTGCAGTCATGAGGAAGCATCCAATGGAAGCCGCTAGTAGAGTCCCACTGCCTGAGTCCCACTGCCTGAGCCTAGTCACTTCTGTTATTTAACCTGGGCTTGGAATCTAATTTTTTAAATGAAAGTTTTATATCATATTCATTGTACAATATTTGCAAAATGAATAATAATTGAGGGAAGGGGAAAAAATATCATCAACTGGAGATAACAATTACCATTTTAGTACATATTTTTATTTTTCAAAGTACTCCATTACATTTACATATTACCTCTTTCATTTAGCATAAAACATACATTTCCTATACTATTAAAATGTTTTATACTTATTTTTCTATTGTATGAATAATATTCTATTGTCTTATATGACACATCAGCATGTACATAATCAAATATAGACATTTAAGTTGTTTCCAAATATTAAAATATATATAGTCTAAATAAAGCTGCATCCCAGAGCTGCATAGAACTCTTTCAGACTTTAGTTTATTTTCTCAGTATAGATGTCCAGAGGCAGGGACACTGGGCCAAAAGATTTATGTTTTAAGGCTCTTGATATTTTTAAGCAGCCTAATTTTTTTCATGTTTTCCCTGTAGAATATGTAAGAGTCTTTGTATTCAATTTATGGGTGAGAAATTTCAGAAAGGAAAATAAATGCACTATAAGAAACCAAGTAAACTAATGGAAAAATGAGGAAGAAATAGTCAAATTAGTTTTTGATATTACAGAGATCCAGGACTCTGCACATATCTGAAATTGAACTGTCTATAAAGATAAGGAACAAGCTGAGGTTACACAATTATTGTGGGACAAAAATTGGAGTGGGTTTCTATGTTATGTGAGAGCAAGTTCATTGCAAGATTTCTTTTAACCATGAAGCAAAAGAGGAAATACCAATTAAAACCACATATACTTCATGAGACATGCCAAATGAGCAAAATAATGAGTTACGTATGAACAAGGGAAAAACACAGTTTATATGGAAACTACACACACACACACACACACACACACACACACACACAGAGAGAGAGAGAGAGAGAGAGAGAGAGAGAGAGAGAGAGATTTCAATACAATGTCTTCAATGTATTTAGAGAACTTACAATTCATTAAGAATAGGGAGAGATCACAAAAATGGGCAAATTACATTAATGGGCAATTTGTAAAATAATAAAATGAGCAATAAGACAAAATATTTACTCTTATTGTACACCAACAAAATACAAAGGAAGTCAACAGTGGGTATTTTTTACTTGTCAATTTGCCAAACACTTAAAAAGTGCTTTCATACACTGTTGCTGAGAGTATAAACTGATACAGTCTTTCTAGAGGGTAACTGGGCAATTTATAGCAAGATCCTTACATTTTTCTCAGCCACTGACCCAGTAATTCCACTTCTTAGAGAAATAATCAAAGATTTGCAAAAAAAAAAAATATATATATGTAGCTGGTTGCTCATCACAGCATTATTTGTAAAAATGAAAGAGCAGGAATTGACTAAATGATAGAATATTATTAGCGATTTCAACTATGTTTTAAAAAAATTAATGCCATAGGAAAATTTCTGTAATACAATTTAACTGAAATATTTCAGAAATAGTACTGCATACATAATTAGCTAGCTATCTGAAAATATTAACAGTACTTATATCTAGGTGAAATTATTTGGTCATTTTTAACATTTTTCTTAATAATTAGGATAATGTGATTCACCAATTGAGAAACTATGAAAATGAAGGATATATAATTTTTATTACAATTTTTTTTTTCCAATCACAAAACATGTCTATTGGTATATGTCATGCATTGTGTTAGGAAATGTTTGATATATTTATTCATTTATTCAAGGATTATTAGAGGATTATTATTATTCAATGATAAATTTCAGCGGTCTTTTTTATTCTCATCTCATGGTGGTATGTATGAGTATCAAGGAAGGAGAAGTCAGCTGCATTGATCCCGAAAAAAGCATTCAATTTAGACAATCTGAATCATAATAATCAGTCCCTCTTCCCACTTTACACTCACCTATCATATCCCAGCCCTCCAGGAACCAGCATTCCCAAAAGGTAAAGGGTTTCAAGCAGAGGCTTCATTCTTCTACAGAGTAAGTTAGAAAATTCTAGGCCTCTCTGGCAGTGGATCAAGTGTCCTTAAGAACGAATCATCAAGACTGTGGCTCCCACAATCAAGATGAGATAAGTCAGTTAGATGTCTCAGCAGAAAGAGACTCGAGCAGCTGCTTTATTAACTCCATCATGTCCTCAAACACCTTTTCAATGGGGGAAATGCTGTACCATTTAATATTTCATTTCTTCTCTAAAATCAAATTTACAGGAGCTCTCAACTCCACCGGATCCAGAAATAAATTTCCTCTTATGCAAAGTCACCTTGGAGTATTTCTAGGAATCCCCATCACTTGTACTCAAGAACAATCATTCCTGCTCCTTCCCTCACATAGGTTGGCTGGGAATAGTGGGCATGGGCATGGTCATTATTCAGAATCTCCACTTCCTCCTTCAGTCAAAGGCTTTGAAATGCCTTCTCTTTTTTTGATGAACCACATTACCAGCTTCTTAAACAAACTCAGGTCTCTTCAAATCTGAGCAGTGACAACAGTTTCAATCCTTTCTCAATTGGATTTTACCACACACCCCTCTTACATGAAGGATAATCCATCATGTTTTCAGACATAGCCAAGCTATGCTTGAGTCTCAATGACAAGTAAAAGTAAAGACTTACGTGAAGACCACTGCTAACAGTATAATTGAGCAAGGCAAACTTAAGTGCAGAGCAGGTTCAGTATTTAAACAGAGTCCTTGATATTTGGGGACCCAGTTTAAATCTTTTGCCCTGTATTCATTCATTCATTCATTCTGCAAAAATCTCATGAGCACCACTGTATACCAGGCACTATGCTAGATACTGAGGATACAAAGGTGAACGAGGCAGAGTCCCTTCCTTTATGGAACTCACAGTAGAGTTGAGAGAACAATAAACAAGTGTACAAACAAATACTACAATTTCTAGGGAAGAGAATGCAGTTAAGGAACAGAGGAGATAGGTGCTTCCATGCTCTCTCCAGGCATGCCATCGACTCAGTCCCTCCGTGTGTTCAGCAACACAGAGACTCTCTAAACTCCTTTCCCTTGGGTTCTTTTTGGAAATTTTGTTACATACACATGATTGAGCATGTCATTCATCATTGGTGATTAAATAAATCTCCAGTCCCTCTTTCCTCCCCAGAGATGGGAGGGGATTACTAAAACTTCCAACTTTCTAATCACATGGCTGATTCTCCTGGCAACTGCCCCTGAATCCTTAGAAACTTTCCAAAAGTTACCTGTTAACTTAGACATAGTCAAAAGGGGCATCATGAATAACAAAAACAGCCCTTTCACCTTTATTGATCTTCTCACTGAGGAAATGTCAAGGGTTTTAGGAGCTCTGTGACAGGAACCAGGGACAAAGACGAAATATGTATTTCCTCTTTTATCACAATAACACAAAGGTGTTTAAAGCCACTGGGCTAGAAGAGTTCATCTAGGGTGTGGATATAAACAGAGAAAGACAAAGACTAAGTCTCGGGCTGACCTCACATTTAGAGGACTTGGTAGAATAGAGTAATCCAGTGAGGAAATTGTGAAGAACAGCCAGTGAGGTAGTTAGAAAACTGGGGGATGATTGTGTCCCAGAAGCCAAGTGAAGAAAGCATGAAGAAAAAATGGTAGTTACCACTGGTGAAATGAGGACGAAGAACTAACCAATGATAACCAGCAGGATAGAGACTCCCAGAGACCTTGAAAAGAGCAATTTCAGAAGATACATGGTGGGGACAAACGCCTGCCTGGAGCTGGTTAAAGAAGGAAAGGGAAGTGAGAAAGTGGAGGCGGTGAGTATAGAAAACTCAGCATAGCTTGCCTACGATAATGGCACCTTAAAGAAAACTGCATTGTTAGGGTTTTGCATCCTTCCCTTAGGATATAGCTAATTCAAAAATCATGAATTTGAATTTTGCTGTTAAGAATGAGGGGTAAAATGCAACACCCATGTCACTCTCTTCCTCACCCAAGTGAGGGGACCGGGAGGCACCTTTTTAGTACTAATTTTGGAGTAAGGGTTCTTCTAATGGAGCCGTCAGTTCCACAGAAAGAGAGTGGGACCTGGAAGTTAAGGGTGTCTTCTTTCTGAACTCTTGCTAATTGGAATGGACTGAGATGGATTCATGGCAGAGGGACGCATGGGTAGCCTAAGTAAAACGGAAGACTACAAAAGGCTTCCCCCGCTACAAATACGTAGTTCCGTACAGTTATTCTGAAGCAAAAGAATGCAAATAAAAGTTTAAAAACACATAAAAATGCAGTCAAATGACACATAAAAATTGTTGGTAAAAACCTGCAAATAATTTTTAAAATATGTCCTGAGGACATTTGGTATTACTACACAGGATTTTCTTAACTGCCACTGATAATTGGATTTTCCTCAATCCCCATGTCCAATTTCACTGTAATATGTGGTCTCCTGCCAACCCCACTGGCCAAAGATTATCTTTCTGTAACCTTATGGAATGCAAGCAGTAGCCCAGGCAACTCAGGGCCAATGAACTGGAACCATGGGCTCCTCACTAACGAGGGTGAATTATTATCACATCTTTCCTGGTGATTAGATTATTTCTTATCATTGTGTTTTATAGCTTTCTAGTTAGTCATCTCAACACAATTTATTCACAATAATAGTGTTTTATTATTGCTGTTTTATAGTTCCTATAATAGTAAAATTTATCCTCAACACCATTATTACAATATTTGACTACTAATGGAATTCTTATTTTTATTTGATTGTGTTTTAAAGCCATAACAATAAAATTTACTCCCAAAAATATTACTGCAAGTTTTATGCTCTTTAAACTACTTGATAGAATGCCTGCAAACACATGTGGTTCTTTAAACCACATGAGAGAAAGCCTGCCAAAACATAAACATTGTTCTAGGGAAAAAGGGAATTGGCTTCTATTATGGTGAAACTCGTGTTCTTTGATAGAGTAAGTAATTCGATGAAAGAAATGAAAGGACCTTAGAGATAGCTGATTTCAAAGAGAATTATATTCTAATTGGTAGAATTATTTTTTAAAAAAACAGCCTCTTTTTATTACCTGCCAAGCCCTACACATTTCCACTGTCTATCCTCCAAAATAATGTGCTCTCAAAATGATGCCCATGATTTCTCTGGGCTCAAAATTGCATGGCTTGTTGCCACATTAGTTGGATAGAGGCTGCTATGAAATATTATTACCAAAAGCCAGGGTCATGTTGAAGGTGAACAGCTTCAGTGACTTAAGAACTGGAAGGCATACAGCCAAGTCAGCTCACTACCTCTGCTGCTTGTCAGGTGCTCTCATTGACCCTGAACCCAAGGACATTGCAATAAACTTCATCACTTGCTTGCTGTGCATTGTTCGTGGCTGGAACACTGAATCAAAGGGACTATAACATGAATTACAATCCATCCAGTGGAGCAAAGTACCAGCGGGATTCAAATAAGTGGTATATCAGACTGGCAGCAATTAAGGTGTGGTTAAGAGCTTGGTCTCGGATGATACATTGAGTTACAGTCACAAGAGAGCTAGAGGCAGGTTGGGTGGAGATATAAACTGGTTGACACTCTGAACCTACAGCTTTATTAGCAGAAAAAGTAAAATCTAGATTTGATTTTTGAGGCAGCACCAAGGAAAGGTTCTTCTTCTGACAGAAGCTTCAGCAATTGTTGCCGTCATCTAAAGCAAGAAATCAGCAGATGTATGGATGGATGGATGAATGGATTGATGGATGGATGCTTGGATACATGTGTCCACAGATGCATGAATGCATGGATGAATCTGTGTCTATGCTCTGGTCAGATGGGATAAGTCCACTGACTAGATGTAGCCACTCACATACACAGGTAGGAACTTAGTTTGCTGTGACCATCTTCTTTCCTTTGCCCAGCTGTGGAAGTGTGCAACTCAGCTCTACCTTCAAGAGAGAAACTGCTGTCAACATCTGGTTATGGGTAGCTTCAGAATCTGACTCTGTATTCAAGCTGGGATCATGTGCTACCTTGACAACTCCGACTAATGACTGAGTCCAGAATTGGTGTAAGTGCTCACCATTGAACCAATGCAATGTGCCTCTAGGAGCAATCTTCTTTTGACTGAGGCCTTTCCTGGCCAATCTTCCTTTCTTCCCTCTATCTTTTCACAGGTGTCAGATCTGGGCTTAAGCCTCCCCTTGCTTTTTCTCCCCTTTATCTTTCATAAGAATTACTCCCCTAAAATCTCTTCTACTTTAAACTCCATATTGGTATCTGCTTTGCAGATGATCCAGCCAATACACCAGCCAGATCCCAGAAAAAATGAAAATGAATGTAATTGATCTTGAGTCACATGATCTTTCTGAAACTTTGTGGATAATTAAATGCAGAAAAAAACCTCAAGTTTGGAAGTAACAAGGATAATCCTACATGGCTAGGCCTTAACAGGCTTACAACACACAGCCAGAAAGCTACAGAAAATTACATGGCAGCTTAGTAACATTCCTTACCAGTTGGCTTTCTGAAAAAGTGTTTTCTCTCTCACTGCTTGCTCACCCTGGCTAACGTGTGGCAGGCGCAGGGTCCTCAACCTTTCCGTGAAGATGATCAACATTGCTCTTTCCCATGTGCTGATGTATTTTCTATTTGGATCATCTGGGGAAGGAAGAGGAGCAAAGATGAAATGCATGCTCTCAAGTGCTGAGAGTGGAGGTGGGAGGGTGAGGAAATGGAGGAGGTTTTAAAGAGGAGTTGGATTTCCTCCAGAAACCCTAGCAATTTGCAGGGCACGAGGTGGGGACAGAACTGAGGTGAGGTAGGGCCATCAGCTTGGGAATTAGCCACTGGATACTTTTCCGTCTCTTTCTCAGTTGGACAGTATTTCATTCTGCATCAACTACCAACTAGTTTTCCAAGAGAATGCTTCCAAACCATCACCCTGAATCATCACACTGAAAAACTTGATCAAGAGGGTTTACCATTCCGAGTCTCTGCTTCCATCCATTGCTCAGGTACTGAAAAGAAAGACAGCCCAATTAGGACAGTTTCCTTTCCTTCTCTGCATTTTGCCCCAGGTTGTTGTCCTACATCTTCTCATTTCTGCTTAATATATTCG